ATGTAATAAAAATAATAATAGAGTAAATAATGGAAATTTAATAATAATAGTAATAATAATACTAGAGTAAAATAATAAATGTAATAAAAGTAGTAATAGAGTAAAATAATGTAATAATAATAATAATAGAGTAAAATAATAAATGCAATAAAAATAATACTAATAGTAGAGTAAAACAATAAATAACCTTGACTCAAGTATAAGACGAGGGGAGTTTTTTCAGCTTAAAAAAGGGGCTGAAAAACTAGGCTTATACTCGAGTATATACGGTAATTCATAAGATTTTAGAAATACTTCTGAAATGATCCCCCTCCCAATTTTGTAATGAGTAGTGAAACATTTTTGTCATTGATCACACAGGCCTATCAGACACACAAAACCTGAGATTAAATTGGCATCACTGTACCAAATTTTCCTTGGCGTGCCCATCGCCTGTTCTCCATCATGGCTTGATGGCTTCTCATGCCAAGAAACATTCCTGCAGAAAGGGAAAAAAGTTTTAAAAAGTGGTCAGACTCCCCTCAAATGCCATGGACTGAAGTACATTTATTGATCTGTCCGCCATACCTGGAATGCGTGGCACCCAGGGCATCTTTGTTGATGAACGTCAAAGTTGCAGTTTGATGGTAGATGCTAAAAAAAAAATTAAGCAGAGATCATGTCATATTTGCTGGTTAAACCCTTGTGTTACTGAACTGCTGACCTGAAAGTTGGCTGAACTGCTGACCTGAAGGTTGGCAGTTCAAATCCATGAGATGGCTGAGCTCTCATCTGTCAACCCTAGCTCCTGCCAACCTAGCAGTTCACAAACATGCAAATGTAAGTAGATAAATTGATTTTAATGTATATGTTGTGTTAACAGTTTATGCCTATGTTTTTGTTTTATAGTGTATGTTTTTGTATTACTTTGCATATGTGGAAACCGCTCTGAGTCCCCTAAGGGAGATAGGGCAGTAGGGCACTGCAGGAAGGAGGAAAGACAGAGGCAGAAACAACTTTTGTTTTTGAATTCTCCCATTCCTCTGCGTCCTGCTCCCTTCTTCCTCCTCCAACTCCTTCTTTCTTTCCTCCCTCTTCTCTCTCATTTCTGTAGATCCTTCTGCTTTCTTTTTCCTTTCTGTCTGTTTGACCTGCTTGGCTGTACCCGGCAACACGAGCACAACACATTTAACTCTCTCTCTCTCTCTCCTATTAACATCCAGACCGGGAGGTAGCTGCCTCTGCCACTCTCCAATCCACTCCTTCTCTCCCTCCCTTCCCTTCTTTCCTCCCTTTCTTTCCTTTTCTTCCTTCTTTCCCCTTCCTTTCCTTCCCCCCTCCTTCCTTCCTGTCCATCCCTCCTTCCCTTCCTTTCCTTCTTTCCCTCCCTTCCCTTCCTCCTTTCCCTTCTTTCCTTCTTCATTTCCTTCCCCTTCATTTCCTTCTCTCTTACCTCATCCCCTCTTCCCTTTCCCTCCCTTCTTCCTCTTCTCCTTCTTCCTTCTTTCCCTCCTCCTTCCTTCTTCCCTTTTCCTTTTTCCTCCCTCCCTTCCTTTCCCTTCCCTTTCTTCTCCTTCCCTTCATTCTCTCTCTCTCTTCTTCACCCCCCTTCATTTCCCTCCCTTTCTCTCTCCTCCTTTCCTTCTTTCCTCCTTCCTTCCTTCTGTCCCTTCTTCCTTTCCCCTCCCTCTCCTTTCCTCCTCCTTTCCCTTCTTCATTTCCTTCCCCTTCATTTCCTTCCTCCCTCCTTCTTCCTCCCTTCCTTCCTTTCCCTTTTCCTTCCTTCCTTTCCTTTCCTTCTTTCCCTCCTTCCCTCCCTCCCTTTCTCCTTCTTTCCCTTCTTTTCCTTCCCCTTCTTCCTCCCTCCCTCCTTTCTTCATCCCCCTCCTTTCCTTCCCTCTCCTTCTTCCTTCCTCCTTCCTTCCTTCCCTTCCTTCCTGTCTCCTTCTTTCCTTTCCTTCCTTCCTTCCCTCCCCCTCCCTCCCTCCCTTTTTCCTTCCTTCCTTCTTCCTTTCCTTCTTTCTATGTAAGATATAAATACAATATTTTATATATTGTTATATAGATTACTATATAATATGTTACTATTATATATTACTACATAATACAAATTAAATAGACTTACAGAATAGAGTTGGAAGGGACAGTCAAGAAGTAACGAGAGGAGGGAAAAAGGGAAGGAATGAAGGCGGGAAAGGGGGAAGGAGAGAAGGAGGGAGGGAAAGAAGGAAAGAAAGAAAGGTAGAGAAGCAAGAAAGGAGAGAAATAAAAAAGTGAAAGGAAAAATGCAGGGAAGGAAGGAAGTAACCAAAGAGCAAACAAAGGGAGGAAAGAAACAGGTAGAGATGGAAGAAAGAAAAAGAGGAAAGGAAGGAGAGAAAGAGGGAGGGAAGGTTGGCCACAGCAACGCATGGCGGGTACAGCTAGTTATTTATATAAATAGCTACCGCTTCAGTGGGAAAAGGCAAAGAGATGCTCCTAGCAATCTTGCCAGCCACACGACTAGGAGGTGCTCCTCGCCTTGAAAACGGAGAAAAGCACCTCCCCAGAGCCAGAGATGAGCACCACCTCCAGAAGTCGGAAATGAATGGAGAAGCCTCTGCCTTTGTTTGTGTTTGTGTGTCTCTTTGTATGTGGTTGTAAAGGCACTGAATGTTTACCTATGTATGTAAATGTTGTAATCCACTCAGAGCCCCCTAGGGGAGAAGAATGGAATATAAATAAAGTGTATTATTATTATTATTATTATTATTATTATTATTATTATTATTATTTTGACCAACATTCAATGTCAACATGTCTACCAGGTTAGGAAAACTGTGCATAGGGCTGGGATGCATCCAAGCAAAGCTGGTGGGGATTCTCTCATCCAATCTCCGTACGTTCGAGGTGCATAGCTATGCACCCATGTCCAGTCTGTGCAAAAAATACACTGGACTCCAAGATGGCAACATATTCCATTGTTGAATAAATATACTTGCCTGGCTTTCAGCATCACTATATTTGGACAAAACGCCATGGTGTTCAAGAGGCGGAAAAGGCTCTTGAGAGTCAACTGGTTGTTGTTTAACCTGCGGAGAAATAAATTGGATGGGGCCCAAGTTACTTTCAAGGAAAAAACTGACAATCCAGGAAAAAAATATCATAATGATAGGAGACTTAGTAGTAGTAGTAGTAGTAGTAATGATGATAATAATAATAATAATAATAATAATAATAATAATAATAATAATATACTTTATTTATATTAATGAGCAAATAGATAGACTGGAAGAGATTAGTCGAAACAGGAGAGCTGAACAGTGGCTTCGGCGGTCTAACAGGCTTCGAGAGAAAAAGATAAGAAGTTCTCAGTTAAAACGAAACCAATTTCTGAATGCTAGAGACTTAGCTAACGAGGACATAAAAGTCCCAAGTACAGGATATGTAGTCAGATGAAGCATTGTTTGGAATCAAGTCAAGATCTCGTTCTTGTTCATGGAAGTTTTACCTGGGAAATTCATGTTTTAGGTGCTTTTGTTTCATGGTTTTGATTCTTGGATTTTATGCTCTATATTCATGCCTTGAGTTCATGTTTCCTCATTCTTTGCATTTTATTTGGAAAGTTTTGGCTTGGTTTTTATGGACTTTGCTGGTCTATAACCCTGGACTACTTTGTTCCTGCTTATCTTCCTTTTGTTTGTTTGTTCATTCGTTCAGTCGTCTCCGACTCTTCGTGACCTCATGGACCAGCCTACGCCAGAGCTCCCTGTCGGCCGTTACCACCCCCAGCTCCCTCAAGGTCAGTCCAGTCACTTCAAGGATGCCATCCATCCATCTTGCCCTTGGTCGGCCCCTCTTCATTTTGCCTTCCACTTTCCCCAGCATAATTGTCTTCTCTAGGCTTTCCTGTCTCCTCATGATGTGGCCAAAGTACTTCAACTTTGTCTCTAGTATCTTTCCCTCCAGTGATCAGTCGGGCTTTATTTCCTGGAGGATGGACTGGTTGGATCTTCTCGCAGTCCAAGGCACTCTCAGAACTTTCCTCCAACACCACAGCTCAAAAGCATCGATCTTCCTTCGCTCAGCCTTCCCTAAGGTCCAGCTCTCACATCCGTAGGTTACTACAGGGAATACCATGGCTTTGGCTAGGCGGATCTTTGTTGCCAGTCTGATGTCTCTACTCTTTACTATTTTATCGATACTGGACATTGCTCTCCTCCCAAGAAGTAAGCGTCTTCTGATTTCCTGGCTACAGTCTGCATCTGCAGTAATCTTTGCACCTAGAAATACAAAGTCTGTCACGGCCTCCACGGTTTCGCCCTCTATTTTCCAGTTGTCAATCATTCTTGTTGCCATAATCTTGGTTTTTTGACGTTTAGCTGCAACCCGGCTTTTGCGCTTTCTTCTTTCACCTTGTTTAGAAGGCTCCTCAGCTCCTCCTCGCTTATCTTCCTACCTAGTTGGATTTACCTATTTCTTTAAAGTGCTTTTTTACCTTGTTGCTTTTTTATTATCTTCAATAAAAGGAATGTTTTCCATCAAACGGTGTGGTGTTTAAAGTTAGAGGGCTTTTTCTGTCCTGGAGTGCAACACTGTTGTAGCTAAGATGTTCTGTGATGATGAGGATGATGGGATTCAGATTCTTGTCTCTTTTTCTGTGCCTCAGATCTCTGGGCCTGTGGCTCCCACGGACAGCACAGACAATGCAGAGTCAACATCAACACAGCGGTTCCCAAGAGAAAGGAAATTTAACGAAGGAGATAGCGAACAGGTGGGGAGGCATTCGCCTCCTTCCCACGCTGATACCGAAAGTACTGAAAGTACTGAAAGCCTTGATGGTGACCTGACCCGGCAAGCTCATGTTAATCTCCGGATCAGGCGGAGTTCTCGCCTGGCCGGCAGATGAGAGGCCAGCTCAGTGAAAGGTCATCGCAATGATTTCATGTAATGTTTTCATGTTAGAAAGGTACTTAGGCTTCTTGCAAACCAAGGGAAAGTGTCAGTTCAATGTAGCTTATTAGCCTGAAAGCTTCATGGAATAACCTTAGCCTGGAAAGCAGTACGCTTGGGATTTCTTGCATTGTGATTCATGGGGCAATTGTTTCATTGCTTGTACCTGGGACTCTGGTTTGAACTTGCCAATAGGATTGTGTCTCCTGTTTTACCTGAAGATCTTTGGAACTATATTCTGCATTTAACCTTAATCATTGAAACTTTGCAATGCTTATTCTTTATTTTGTCTTGGATTTCTTCCTCAATAAACTATAAAACTACAGCTCTTGTGTGGTGGTGTTTGGAAGCAAGGTGAAGCTTACTCTGAGTTGCAACAAACACCGGCATTTGGAGGCTGTGTTCGATTCCGGTCACAGGGGGGTGCTATTACTGTATCTTTCATGCCGAGGAGCTTTCACATCCTTAGACATCCCCCCAATCGAATCGCTGGCATGTCCTTATGGGCGCCTTTTATTACCTCCCTGCTTAAAATGGTACCTATATATCTACTCACATTGCTGTTTTCGATCTGCTAGGTGGGCAGGGAGCTGGGCTGATGGCGGGAGCTCACCCCGATCCAGGCTTGAACTGCCAACCTTTTGATCAGCAGGATTTTCTGCAGTTTAGTAGTTTAACCCGTTGTGCTAAGCCCGGCCCACTGTACTAAACATACTGTGCTAAGGGCTGGTAGTATAATAGAAGGGAGGTCACAACTTCAGGGTCAAAACAGAACTTAAAATCTAACTTTCCTCCTGAATACAGATCAGATTAGAAAATAATAATAATAGAAATAAGACAAACCTTAGAGTGCCAGAAATGGATAATTTGGGCACCGTCTTCATCAGCTGATTGCAGCCGGCGTCGCCAAGTGAGTTATCTGACAAACTAAGAAATGGTTCCCAGTTAGTAATGACAAAGTTGGGTTGCTGTGAGTTTTTCGGGCTGTATGGCTATGTTCCAGCAGCATTCCCTCCTTACATTTTGCCTGCATCTGTGGCTAATAATATCTTCAGAAGTTCTGTTGAAAATGAGGCTAGTGTAGTGGATATATATCTGTGACTGATTGATAGACAGTTTATTCAATGCTTAGACCATAGACATACAAGAAAATAGATACATACACGAACATCAGATTATTAAATACAATATAAAATACACAATAAAATCCTATAAATAATTGAAATGCTAGATATATCTGTAGAGTAATGTCCAGGATGGGAGAAAGAACTCTTGTGTGTGTGGAAGAAAGTGTGGATGTTGCAATTACTGAGGTATAAATATATATACACTCCACTTGCCTCTCTTCCAACAGAACCTCTGAAGATGCCATTAGCCACAGATGCAGGCAAAACGTTAGGAGGGAATGCTGCAGGAACATGACCATACAGCTCGATAAACTCATAGCAGCCCAATGATTCCAGCCATGAAAGCCTTTAACAACACAATGACAACATTGTCCCCAAATGTTTTCTTTGGTTAAGAGACGGTTGGGAAGAAAGAGGGACTTACTCGATTTCGGAAAAGTGAGGACAGCTCCGGAGGACATCTGCAAGAGGCTTTGCCCATCGAGGATCCAAATGGCAATCCTGCAAGCTGTGTATGCACAAAAGGACGGGAGGCCATATATATATATATATATATATATATATATATATATATATATTCCGGCATTATACCATATATCCTTGAGTATAAGCCAACCCGAATATAAACCAATATTTATATAAAACTGTAATCTATGTATATAATAAAAGTCAGTGTTCGTATGTGGAGGGAGGACGGGAGGGAGGTGTATGTGGCAGCGTTCTGATTGGCTGCCACTGTGGTACAATTTGCATATGGTCTCTGATTGGCCAGCCTCAAAACTCCAAGATTCTGAGGTGACAGAGGAGAGGAAAAGGCCTGAGGCTGTGTCAGAAAATTACCAATACAGACCAAAGGTTACATGACCTTGGAGGTGTCTATGGACAACGCCAGCTCTTCGGCTTAGTAATGGAGATGAGTACCAACCCCTAGAGTCTGACATGACAGGACTGTTGGAGCTGTTTGCAATGTGTAATGTAGATTTCAAAGTATTTATGTATGTTTAAAATGCAGTAGCTTTGTGCTGAGTGGGTGCTGAGCCGCCCTGAGTCCCCCCCGGGGTGAGAAGGGCGGGTATAAGTAAATGAAATAAATAAATATTCCTGTGTGGAAAGAGTTAACTGAACCATGGAGGGAACGGCATTCCTAGAGAGGTCGTAAATCAAGTGAACGTCGGACGTCATGCATCACTTTGGAATGCAGGAGGTGTGGACTAGTACTGATAACAGCAGTTCGAGTGTTCGCAATGCTTCTATCAGATGGCAAGGAAGCAGTTTTACGATGTGCTGAGTGTTAAGTAGCTTCTAATGTATATAGCTGTTAAATAAAGTAGTTTATAGCCTAAAGTGGCTGTGATTGATCTGTTTATTGCCTTGCTGTGCGGCCGATGCCACTGACAAGCACTTAATGTCAGGGGAAAACCTTTACCTTTATCTATCTATCTATCTATCTATCTATCTATCTATCTATCTATCTATCTATCTAAAAATAATTATTTTATATATTACATATATTATGGAGCCCCCAGTGGTGCAGTGGGTTAAACTGCTGAGCTGCTGAACTTGCTGACCGAAAGGTCACAGATTCAAATCCGGGGAGTGGGGTGAGCTCCCTCTGTCAGCTCCAGCTTCTGCTAACCTAGCAGTTCGAAAACATGCAAATGTGAGTAGATCAATAGGTACCACTTCAGCGGGAAGGTAACGGCACTCCATGCAGTCATGCTGGCCACACAACCTTGGAGGCGTCTGTGGACAACGATGGCTCTTCGGATTAGAATCGGACACAAATGGACTTAATATCAACGGAAAACCTTTACCTTTACCTATGTCAACAACAGTTCTCAAACTTACTGTAATATTAAACTTCTGGCTTGAGGAATGGTCTCTTCTTCTTTGATTTCAACTCCTTTTGACCTAAAACAAACAAACAAACAAACAAATCAATAAATAACAACATAATAGCAACAACAAATTCAACAGGACAATAATGGGTTTGGTCTTATCATCAGGCAACCAAGATTCTGCTTTCTTTTTCCTTGTGTCGAAAGGACATTTCTCTTCTCTTTTTTTCAGAATGAGAGGGCTATAAACCAAAGGATCATTTCTCACCTTGAATCCTTTCTGGAGTGACTGAAGTAGATTAATATCGTATCCTTCCTGCAGAGAAACAGTGGAAAATTATTAGAAAAAGTCAGTCTCTGCTTTTGTTTTTTATGAACGCTCCCATTAGAAAATGCAGAAGGATGTGTGTGAACTACAACTCACGTCATGCCAGGTTAATTCCCCCTCAACCGGCACTTAACATTGGTCATCTTGGGTATGTGTAACACGTTTGCTCCAGATCTGTTCCCAGGGGAGTTCACAGTACTCTCTGTGAACTGAAATCATGAGGGAATTTAAAAGGGTCTGGCCCTGAAGGAGAGACCCTGCGGACCCACCAAAGAGGGCTCGCTACAATGGTGAGCAAAGAGAAGCCCAATTTAAAAGGTTTTTCCTAAGTTCCCAAAAGAAATCTCACCAAAGTTGAAGGAAGCGCCACCGAGATGATTGTATTGCGATTCAGCTGAAAAGGATGCAAAGCAGCAATCTTTTGCCAAGCTAAGCATGCATGAGTACAAATAAAAGCCATTTTTATAGAAAAACAGAGTTGCCTGGTTTGAATCTCCTACTCCCCACCCTCCGCTTGGCTTGAAGGTGATTGGCTGGCGCTTCAACAGCTGGGAGGAGGCTCGGCTGCCCCTCGAGCGCCTGGGCCAATCACAAGGCTTCTGCTGCGTGCCTGGGCCAATCACAGGGCTTCAGCCGCATTGGCGCTTCAGCAAATCAGGAGAGAGGGAGGCGAGACAAGGGAATACAATGCATTCTTGGGTGGATTATGGAAATTCAGGAAATTCTTGACAGCAGAAGGTGTCACCTCAACATCTTTAAACTTACTCGCCCAACGATGCACAGTACACCCATCAACACAACCACCATAAAGAGCTTGCATTCTCTGATGAATCTCCTTTGGGGTGATACCTTCTGCTGTCAATAATTCAATGACTGCACATTGCTTAAGTCGCATTGACTGACCGTCTGTGCAGGGTTGCATACTTCACACTTTAACAACATAACTATTCAATGCTAAGGCTTCCCGCCAAAATGGAACTGTAGGGAAGAGTGTATTGAACAAGCCAGTATCTGCCACATACCAGCATTGCCATCTGTTGAGGAGTTACGAAGGTGGAGGTGTTACTTTTAATTCAACCCCTTTGTATATAGTATATTATATATTACTAGCTGTACACACCACACGCTGCTGTGGCCAACCTTCCCTCCCTCTTTCTCTCCTTCTTTCTTTCTCTCCTTCCTTCCCGTTTTCTCTTTCCTTCTCTCCTTCTTTCCTTCTCTTCTTCTTCCCTTCCTTCCCCCCTTTTGTTTCCCTTCATCTTTCTCCCCGTTCTTCCTTCTCTATCTATTCTTGGACTGCAACTCCCAGGAGTCCTCCTGATCGATCTATCTATCTACCTACCTACCTACCTCTATCTAATCTATCTATCTGGAGGATCCTGCCAAAATGGAACTGTAGAGGGGAGTCTACTGAACAAGCCAGTACCTGCCGCATACCAGTACTGTCATCTGTTAAGGAGTTAAGAAGGTGGAGGCATTACTCTTTATTCAACCCCTTCGTATATAGTATATTATATATTACTAACTGTACCCACCACACATTGCTTTGGCAACCCTTCCCTCCCTCTTTCTCTCCTTCTTTCTTTCTCTTCTTCCTTCCCGTTTTCTCTTTCCTTCTCTCCTTCTTTCCTTCTCTTCTTCTTCCCTTCCTTCCCCTCTTTTCTTTCCCTTCCTCTTTCTCCCCGTTCTTCCTTCTCTACCTATTCCTGGACTGCAACTCCCAGCAGTCCTCCTGATAGATCTATCTACCTACCTACCTATCTCTATCTAATCTATCTATCTGGAGGATCCTGCCAAAATGGAACTGTAGAAGGGAGTCTATTGAACAAGCCAGTACCTGCCACATACCAGTACTGCCATATGTTGATGAGTTACAAAGGTGGAGGCATTACTTTTCATTCAACCCTCGTATTATAGAAGACAGACAGATGGATAGGGAGATAGATAGACAGACAGACATATACATGTGTGCATTTTAAAAAGAAATTAAATGCAATTAAATGCAACACCACTTGGTACCTTATATGCAGCTTGGTAACATTTGGGGAAATCGCCGCAGCTTTGACCAAAGCGAGGATTGCATCCACCGAACTCTCATTGAAGCTTAAACTGTTCAGGGTAGAACAAACATGAGATTGCATTTCCATTAACAGGTCACCTCTTGGCTTCCTTAGGGTGCGTCCGCACTGTAGAATGAATGCAGTTTGGAAGAGACCATATTTGACTGGTTTGCTTGCAAGAAGGTCATGGGGGACTTTGCTGAAGGCCATAATATTGAGCCACCATCACCCAATATTATGGAATACGGGAATGTATAGCTTTGGTGAAGCAGAAGACTGGCAGAGAAGACTCAAGGCCTTATAAAGCTCCAGCTTCCCTGATTCCATTGCATTGAGCCACCACAGTCAAAGTGGTCTGAAACTGCATTAATTCTACAATGTAGGTTCACCCCATTTAACCATTGGATATTATTATTCATTGCTATTAATTATCCCAGCCCCAGCAGCCAGCGCCTTGCTTTGGGACCAAAGTTCTTGAGTTGTTCCATCCTGACTCAGCACATAGAAGATGGCTTTGAAAGGCAGCAGATCACAGGAGCTGTCTTCATAGACCTGTCAGAAGCCTATGATCCTGTCAACCACCGCCTCCTCCTGAGGAAAATGTATAATATCACAAAGGACTACCACCTCACCCGCCTCATAGGAAACCTGCTACAAAACAGGAGCTTTTTTGTTGAGTTCCAGGGCCAGAGAAGCAGATGGCGGAAACAGAAGAACGGCCTGCCTCAGGGGAGCGTGCTTGCTCCATCCGTGTTCAACATCTACACAAATGACCAGCCACTGCCAGAAGGGACAGAGAGCTTCATCTATGCTGATGATCGTGCCATTACTGCTCAAGCAGGGAGCTTTGAGATGGTGGAACAGAAGCTCTCCGAAGCTCTAGGTGCTCTTACTGCCTATTACAGGGAAAACCAGCTGATTCCTAATCCATCTAAAACACAGACATGCGCCTTTCATCTCAAGAACAGACAAGCATCCCGAGCTCTGAGGATACCTGGGAAGGAATCCCACTGGAGCATTGCAGCGCACCCAAATACCTGGGAGTCACTCTGGACCGTTCTCTTACCTACAAGAAGCACTGCCTGAACATCAAGCAAAAAGTGGGTGCTAGAAACAATATCATACGAAAGCTGACTGGCACAACCTGGGGATCACAACCAGATACATGAAGACATCTGCCCTTGCACTATGCTACTCTGCTGCTGAGTATGCATGCCCAGTGTGGAACACATCTCACCACACTAAAACAGTGGATGTGGCTCTTAATGAGACATGCCGCATTATCACAGGGTGTCTGCGCCCTACACCACTGGAGAAATTACACTGCTTAGCCGGTATTGCACCACCTGACATCCGCCGGGAAGTAACAGCCAATAGTGAAAGGACCAAGGCAGAGACATCTCCAGCTCATCCCTTGTTTGGGTATCAGCCAGCACGTCAACGACTTAAATCAATAAATAGTTTTCTAAGATCTACAAAGACACTCGCTGGAACACCTCAGCAAGCGAGAGTCCAAAAGTGGCAGGCTCAAACCCAGAACCTCAACCAATGGCTGATACCAAATGAGAGACTCCCTCCTGGGCACACAGAGGACTGGGCGACCTGGAAGGCACTGAACAGACTGCGCTCTGGCACCACGAGATGCAGAGCCAACCTTCAGAAATGGGGCCACAAAGTGGAATCCTCGACATGCGAGTGTGGAGAGAGCAAACCACTGACCACCTGCTGCAATGCAACCTGAGTCCTGCCACATGCACAATGGAGGACCTTCTTGCGGCAACACCAGAGGCACTCCAAGTGGCCAGATACTGGTCAAAGGACATTTAATCAACTACCAAACTCACAAATTTTGTATTTTGTCTGTTTGTTTGCTTTGTTCTGTTAGAAATGTAATATAATTGACTGGTTGCCCTGACACGACAAATAAATAAATAAAATTAATATTATTAAGTAAAGGTTTTCCCCTGACATTAAGTCCAGTCGTGTCCAACTCTGGGGTGTGGTGTTCATCTCCATTCCTAAGCCGAAGAGCCGGCCTTGACCGTAGACACCTCCATGGTCATGTGGCCAGCATGACTGCATGGAGCACCATTTAACCATTGGATATTAGGCCTGTGCGATTCGTTTCGTTAATTCGTTAATTCGTTAATAATTCGTTAATTTTACCATTTCCGAAGCGATATTGAAACAAATCTCCAAACCCGGAAGGGTTTATAAATATCGAACCAGCAGCCCCCATAGTATTTACGAGCCTCCGCTCGTTTCGTTAATGGGGTGGAGGCTGCTGGAGTGCTGGTGCATGGGAGCCAATCCGGCGCTCCCAAGCAGTGCACCATGGGTCCGTGGCTGTCTGTTTTTGATTGGCCGGCGAGCCCTTTCAAAGCGGCTCCGCGCGGCCCGTAGCTTGCTGCAGAGGGCGAGGGAGTTTGCATTGGGTTGGCTTGGCAATGGCTGCCTGCTAGCAACGAACTGGGATTGGATTCATTCCTTGCTGCTGTGAGTGCTGCTTGCTTCATTTGCTGTCTCTTGCCTGTGTTTGGTCCACATTTGGGCCATTTTTTGGTTAATTGTCCATTTTAAAATATTTTTAATATTATTTTTTAATATTATTTTTAATATTATTTTTAATATTATTTTTTAATATTATTTTTTAATATTATTTTTTACTATTATTCTTAAAAAATATTCTAAAAAAGAAAAGACTCTTCTGTTGGTGTGTGCTCTCATTTGCTGTATCCTGCCTGTGTTTGGTCCACATTTGGGCCATTTTTTGGTTAATTTTCCATTTTAAAATTTTTAATATTATTTTAATATTATTTTTTAATATTATTTTAATATTATTTTTAAAAAATATTCTAAAAAAGAAAAGACTCTTCTGTTGGTGTGTGCTCTCATTTGCTGTATTGTGCCTGTGTTTGGTCCACATTTGGGCCATTTTTTGGTTAATTTTCCATTTTAAAATATTTTTTAATATTATTTTAATATTATTTTTTAATATTATTTTAATATTATTTTAAAAAATATTCTAAAAAAGAAAAGACTCTTCTGTTGGTGTGTGCTCTCATTTGCTGTATTGTGCCTGTGTTTGGTCCACATTTGGGCCATTTTTTGGTTAATTTTCCATTTTAAAATATTTTTAAATATTATTTTAATATTATTTTTAATATTATTTTAATATTATTTTTAAAAAAATTTCTAAAAAAGAAAAGACTCTTCTGTTGGTGTGTGCTCTCATTTGCTGTATTGTGCCTGTGTTTGGTCCACATTTGGGCCATTTTTTGGTTAATTTTCCATTTTAAAATATTTTTAATATTATTTTAATATTATTTTTTAATATTATTTTAATATTATTTTTAAAAAATATTCTAAAAAAGAAAAGACTCTTCTGTTGGTGTGTGCTCTCATTTGCTGTATCCTGCCTGTGTTTGGTCCACATTTGGGCCATTTTTTGGTTAATTTTCCATTTTAAAATATTTTTTAATATTATTTTAATATTATTCTTAAGAAATACCAAAAATATTCTAAAAATTCGTTAATATTTACAAAATTTCTTAAATACCAAAACTTTTTTTGGAAAGTTTTGTAATTATTTTAAATATCGAAACAAAAAAACACCCCAATTACAAATCGATTTTAGAAACAAATTTTTTCTTGATCAAACAGGCCTATTGGATATTATTATTCATTATCCCAGCCTAGGTTTTGTGAAACCAACTTCTTGCTACAAAATCTTTGTACTTACTCCATCTTCTTTAGTTTATTCACAGTGGGAAATATCTCTGTGAGCTTGACCATGTCTTGTCCCTTCAGCTTGTTGTCCTGCAAGCTTCAAAGGGAGTAACAGCTTGTGAATATGATCCCCGTAATGGGAAATAACTCAGGCCAATCCTCCCACCACCTCCCTCCTGAATCAAGGAACTCCAATTTACTTGATGTCTTCCAGCTGCTGGCAGTTTGGAAAAGCGCCCATGAGATGTTCAAGGCCAGAGACGGTGATGTTCCCACCTGTCAACCTGGAAAACGAAAGGCACACAGCTGGATGATGACAGTGAGGAGAGCAATGATGGTGGTTTGTAGCCCACTTTGATTCGAAAAAGGGGGAAAATATATATTTTATTTATCCTAATTCAGATACACTATGGAATGAACACAGTTTGGCATTACTTTGACTGCCCTGGCTCAAGGCTATTATTATTATTATTATTATTATTATTATTATTATTATTATTATTCTGACACAAAAACACAATATGTCACAGCAAACGAGATTATATCTGCTGGATTTCGTATTATTATTATTATTATTATTATTAATACCCCGCTTTATCTCTCCTGAAGGGGACTCAAAGCGGCTTAATATGAAAGCATCAGCATACAATTTAAAATATGCAAATATGCAAACACTGAAACAGGATTGAATATAAACAGTATTTCATAATTCCCAGTTAAAATCCTTTTAGACATATTCAAATTTAAAACCATAATCAAACATTGGAGGCAAGGTGATTGTTCAACAGGTTGATTTGATCAAATCACCCTGCTGGGTGAACAAAGAAAGTGCCACACACAAGTGAGACGCAGCTCAGTGTTATTGTCAACACCTTGAGCATGCGGACAGACTATATTCAGGCTATTTTCTCCCAATTCGTGTCTCATTTCTAGCTCTTCCTTTTCTTTCCTTATCAGTATTCCTGCACCTGTTTTCCGTATTGATATTACTTATTTACTTAGGCGATCCCTCGTTGGACAAGTAAGATGGTCTTCCAATATTCTTGTGGGTTCATAGGTGGCTATTCTTGCTCTGCATATTCTCCCGCAGTGAAGGCATTGGTTCCCAGGTGGAAGGCAATCCCGGTCGGGGTTGGCTTGACGCGCCTTCCTCCTGGCGCGTTTCTCTCTTTCACCCTCCACTCGTGCCTCCTCGAATTCTGCAGCACTGCTGGTCACAGCTGACCTCCAGCTGGAGCGCTCAAGGGCCAGGGCTTCCCAGTTCTCAGTGTCTATGCCAGAGTTTTTAAGGTTGGCTTAGAGGCCATCTTTAAATCTCTTTTCCTGTCCACCAACATTCCGTTTTCCGTTCTTAAGTTCAGAGTAGAGCAACTGCTTTGGGAGACGGTGGTCAGGCATCCGGACAACATGGCCGGCCCAGCAGAGTTGATGGCAGAGGACCATCGCTTCAATGCTGGTGGTCTTTGCTTCTTCCAGCACACTGACGTTTGTCCGCTTGTCTTCCCAGAAGATTTGCAGGATTTATCCAGCATATATATCTTGTTTGCTGTGACATATTGTGTTTTTGTGTCAGAATAATAATAATAATAATAATAATAATAATAATAATAATAATAGCCTTGAGCCAGGGCAGTCAAAGTGGTGCCAAACTGCATTCATCATCATCATCATTATTATAATATAATAATAATACGGAATTTTGTATTATTATTATTATTATTATTATTATTATCCGTATTATTATTATTCTTTTTTTTCTTTTTATATTATTATATATTAACACTCTGTCATTCCCACCAACCGTGCTTGAGACAGACTGGGACCTACAGCAGGGCCTCTTCTGCGGACCGAAATGGTCATGCTGATTCATTATTATTATTATTATTATTATTATTATATTATTCTGACACAAAATATAATATGTCACAGCAAACAAGATTATATCTGCTGGATTTTGTATTATTATTATTATTATTATTATTATTATTATTAATCTCGTTTGCTGTGACATATTGTTTTTGTGTAAGAATAATAATAATAATAATAATAATAATAATAATAATAATAATAATAGCCTTGCGCCAGGGCAGTCAAAGTGGTGCAAACCTGCATTCACCACCATCATCATCACCACCATTATCAACATTATTATGATATAATAATAATACGGATAATAATAATAATAATAATAAGAAATTCCGTATTATTATTATATTATAATAATGTTGATAATGATGGTGATGATGATGATGATGATGATGAATGCAGTTTGGCACCACTTTGACTGCCCTGGCTATTATTATTATTATTGTGACACAAAATACAATATGACACAACAAATGATATATATCTGCTGAATTTCATATTATTATTATTATTATTATTATTATTATTATTATTATCCATATTATTATTATATTATAATAATGCTGATAATGATGATGAAGAATGCAGTTTGGCACCACTTTAACTGCCCTGGCTCAAGGCTGTTGTTGTTGTTGTTGTTGTTGTGTAGTGTCAAGCTGCATTAATTCCACAATGTAGCTGTGCCCTAGGATTGCTTTGCCCATTCTTTCAGTGTTAACACAAAGGGCTTGTTTTGTTGCACTGCAAAACTGTTGCACTGCAAAAAATAACCGGAGCACCTCTTACCGAAATGTTGTCAGGCATTTCATCTTCGGCAGGCTTTTGGAAAGGGCGGCAGCGAACTCGTTACCACACTTTCGGCTCCTAAAGCTAAGAGGAAAGGCAACATGAATAAACAAATCAAGTTTATTTTGTCATTTGGGAGTTGTAGTTGCTGGGATTTATAGTTTACCTACAATCAAAGAGCATTCTGATGGAACTGAACCAAACTTGGCGCACAGAATTCCCATGACCATGTTGTACTGTTGTAATTTTAGAGTTTTTTAATACTGGTAGCCAGATTTTGTTCATTTTCATGGTGCCCTCCTTTCTGTTGAAATTGTCCACATGCTTGTGTATTTCAGTGGCTTCTCTGTGTAGTCTGACATGGTGGTTGTGAGTGTGGGCCATCATTTCTGTGTTCTCAAATAAATACTAGTATTAAAAAACTCTAAAATTACAACAGCTCAACAACAGAGAGGAAACAATCAGGCACATCTAATCACCTCTTAACAAAAGATTCCCCCAGGCACTGTCAGGTCATTATATGCTAATCAAGGTGATCAGTTGAAACATTCACACCTAGTTCCAGCAGACAAGAGTCCTTTGTCTCACCCTGGTCATGCCACAGATATATAAACCCTTTTTCCTAGTTCCAACAGACCTCACTACCTCTGAGGATGCTTGCCATAAATGCAGGAGAAACGTCAGGAGAGAATGCCTCTAGACCATGGCCATATAGCCCGAAAAAACCTACAACAACCCAATGCTTCAAACTACAAGAAAGGAGATTCCACCTGAACATTAGGAAGAACTTCCTGACTGTGAGAGCTGTTCAGCAGTGGAACTCTCTGCCTCAGAGTGTGGTGGAGGCTCCTTCTTAGGACGCTTTTAAACAGAGGCTGGATGGCCATCTGTCGGGGGTGCTTTGAATGCGATTTTCCTGCTTCTTGGCACAATGTGGTTGGACTGGGTTCTATGACATGCATGTGATGAAGTCCTAAGTTGAACCCCTGTTTATGAGGAACCTCATAGAATCATGGACTCATAGAGTTGGAAGTCAAATAAGAATAATAGTAATAGGTCATACCTCAAACTCTGTATATTTTCACAGCTCCCCAAGACATCCAAGTAGTCAAGCTCCATGGAGCACCCAACGAAGTCCAAGTGCACCAAATGACTGCTGCTGTTGATCACAAAGGCCAACGCCATGACGTCCAGCGGCATCAGCCTGAAATTTCTGAACTGGAAAGTGAAGTTCAACCGCTTCCCGACGTGTTGGGCTAACTCAAGGTCTTGTGTCTCATACACGCAGTGGCAGAGCTCAACTATCTTGGGCCCGGTTAAATGGGCCACCGCCAGCTTCTTCAGCACCTCCAACACGATGGTTTGCCGTTCCCGTATCCAAGTCTCGCTTTGTCCGGATAAGGAGACGAGGAATCCCCGACACTCTTTGGACGAAAGACCGGAGAGGAAGACATGGCAGTTGGCGGTGAACGGCTCCTTCGGTCCCTTCTTTAACGTCCACTTTGACCTCAAGAAGAACTTCTCTTTCAGACAGTTGCCGTCTACTCTTTGGCTAGTCAATAGGAAGAGAGCGGCGAGGAATTCTTGCAAGATGAAATGAACGAAGGTGTAACCTGCTTGTGTTTGGCCACTACTCGTCTTCACCTCAAAGGTTAACAAGAGACCATGTTGGCAAGCAAAATCCTTTACCTGTTTGGAACGGGGGGGGGGGGGGGGGGGGGGGGGGGGAGGAGGGTTTCCAAAAAGGAAAAAAGCATTCAAAACAGGTAATGCAGGAACAACAACATAAGCAGCAGATGAGAAGCTTTTTATGGCAGCCGTAGAATGAGTGACTTTCAGAAATTCAGATGCAGAGTTATAAAACATTTTATTCATTGAACTGCCGTATTTCATCACATAATAGTTGCACTTTCCCTTCTTTTTTCATTAAAAAGGGGGTGTATAACAAAGGATGGGAGGCTAGAGGCTTATTTATATTTTGCCTGGGCAGGATGGATCTTCCCAGAGGTTTTCCTTTCCTTAAAAAAACCCCCACCCCTGTGCCTCCAATATGATAGCGAGACGATGAGGGATATGTGTTATGATGAAGTGAACACTGCTCGTCTTTAAACTTCTTTTTGAATTAAAGCTGCCACCAACCTAAGGTGTGTTCTGCCACCAACCTAAGGTATGTTAGGATTTTTTTCAAAAACAGGAAAAAAGAAAAAATTATTTGAGGTGAACTTTTTTCACTCCTGCCAACACTGCTTTTATCCCTGGCTCCCAAACAACTGTTTGTTGAGAGGCTTTTCTGTAGTAACAGGGTGTTAAAATTGCTGGAACTATCACAAAGACTTGACGATGGAGTGATATACAGTAGAGAGTTGGTTGAAAGTCAAATGGAATAAGATTTATTTTTAAAACAGACAACTAACCATTCCTGAGAGGTACAAAAAACGTGACTTGTTACAAAAGTACTTCAGCTTGATTGGTTGCTTGAACAGTTCTCTTCACTTTGTTCCAGACAGAGCTAACCAAACAGAATGAACTGTTGGTAACAAAACCCTCGCTCTATTTCAGAGAATAGTGATGAGTCTGACTAGCCTATCTAGGTAGTTCCTGGGTTATTAACAAACTCTACCCTAGAGTTCTTCCTGTTAACTAACCCAGCCTGGAAAGCCAATCTCTTGTGCGAACTCTCACAAGAGATCAGACTGCTGTCTGACCTTTTTCCTGTCAGCTCGCAGCACTGTCTAACACAGACACTATCTCTCCTATCTCTCTCCCTGAAAACACAGTTTCAAACTACACCTTCACACACCAGCTCCCAGCTCTCAACTCTCACTGAAGCTACCTTCTTTTCCTCCTCAGACTTGGCTCCTCCCAACTGCTCTGGCCAATCCTAGGAGTCTCTGAACTCCTCCCCTCTTCCAACCATCTTCACTCAAGATGGCTGCCTCCCTGGCATTCCCTCCTAAAATAGAGGCCTGCCTTACTGTTATCCAGGCTCCCTTTGTGACTTTGCGACTATTATACGAGGAAAACAATCTGCCTTCGATTCCCTGGTTTCTGGGTTTAAAAAAAAAACACCTTACCTTCGAAAGGAAAAGTGGAGGAGGGATGATCCAGCCTGAAAAAACAGCTCTGTTTCCTTTTTATTTGTTTGTTTATTTTAAGTGCAAAGCCATTTGAGACTGACTCTCCCTTCCTTCCTTTTCTCTCTGAAAGCAAGACAGTTTTAAAACTATAAAAATTGAGCTCTCTAAATCCCCATTCTTCTCCCCTTTCGCCTTCCTCTGAGGCAAGGCAGTTTACAAAACATGGAATGGAGTTTTTTGGAGGAAGGAGGAAGGAAGGAAGATCCAGGTTCCAGAGACCTCACTTCCTGGTTTTGTAAACTGCCTTAAGATATTTGAGGAAGGAGGAGATAGAGAAGAGTTGAGCTTCAGAGACCTCAATTTTATTGTTTTGAAACTGTCTTGCCTTCAGAGAAAAAAGGGAGAATCAGCTCTAAATGGGGGTGCGACTATTACGTGAGGAAAACAAAAATACAATTTTTGGCACTTCAAAATGGAGGTTTGGCTATTATGTGGTGATAACTATTATGGAATAAAATATGGTGCATATCTAGATAGGAATGCTAACAGGGCCTAGCTATCTAACTAACATACAACAGATATCTTGTCTCTCTCCATATTCCCAGGAAAAGAACAAAAGGGGCTTGCCATGTGGTGTTGTGGCTCAGTTTGATTCTGAGTCTGAACCTGAACCCTGTGGGTCTTGTGAGCCAGAGTGCCCTGCTGAAGAAGATGATGGGATTCAGATTTCTGGGCCTGTGTCTGTGCCTGTCTCAGACAATGCAGCAGGAGAGACAACAAGTCAGTTCTCAAGGGAAAAGAATGCCAGTGAGCTAGATAACGGCCAGGTGGAGTTGTCTTCACCTGCTCAGCCTTCCCACGGTGATTTGGTCCAGCTGGACCAAACTGATAAGGAGAGCACTGAAGATAGTGAATTAATGAGCAGGCTTAGATTGGAGGGTCAGGAGGAGTTCTCATTTAGCTAGTAAGAAAGAAGCCAAGTCTGTCAAAGGTCAGCGCAATGCCTTCATGGGTGCTAAGGGTATTTAGGTTTCTGACAAAGAGAAATTGTCAGTTCAACATAGCTCTTTCCATGCAAAGTTCTATGGATTAATCTTGGCTTTTAGCAGCACGCTTTTGGCTTCCTGCATCTGGGATTTTGGGTCTTGTGTTTCACATGGACTCTTGTTTGATCATTGCCTTAGGATTATGCTTCATGTTTTGCCTCTGGATCTTTGGAACTTTCTTATTCTATGTTTTGACTTTGCTTTTTCCTCAATAAACTACAAAATCTACAGCTCTGGTGTGGTGGTGTTTGGGAGCAAGGTGAAACTACCCTGAGTTGCAACATGTGGTCAGAAAAGGCATGTCTCTGAGAAGTAGAAGTCTAACTGTGGCAGTCGTTAGGGGAAAATAAAATAATCATAATTAAAAATCGTTACCGAGATTCAGACCGCTCAAAGGAGGTTTTGCAAATTAAAGGGAAAAAGCCAACAGATAGCATGGATCGATAAGAGGTCAAGATGACTGATCTAAAGTACATGTTTATACAAGCTGAATGTTTACTCAAGCTGAATGTTGACCACCAAAGAACTGGCAAGCACATAGAAATCAATAGATATCGATCCAAGACTTGGAACATCTAAGGTCATATGGTGAGAGAGCGCCATCTCCTGACTATTTGATGTAAATAGCAGGTAATTTCAGAAACGTTTTATTTAAAAGTAAATTCCCGAGGAACTAAATTATTATCAGAGTAATTACGGCAGAATTGATGAGGAGATTGCCTTGATCAACTTTTATGTTAAAAACATATATAAAGTTATGATTCATTTAAGAGATCTAAGAGAATTAAGAACATGTCATCTGGGGATAAGGGGTAAAAGGTTAAATAGTTATATAAATGAGCAGATGTTTGGGGTCATGATGGTCTTGCCAGAAATATGTTCTTGGCAACTACATATGAAAATTCCTGTTAATGATTGTATTGTGTAAATGTCAGAGTTGTTCTACGCATGTGCAAAACTAGCAATTCCATGCTATAAAAACTGGACTAAATGTGACATCAAGTGTGCATCAGCCCTTGGTTATGCTGATCGCCCTTACTCTGGAGTAAGAATAAACGCCTGAAACCCTGCCAAGCTGTTTCTCAATCTTCTTCCTTCTCCAAAAGGTACTCAATGAAACCTGGTAAATATTAATCTGCAACATAACAAGAAAAGTGATAGAAGGAGAGAAAGAAATTAACTCAACTTCCTATTTACAAGCTTGTGCATGATGTGGTTGACTGCGAACATTACCTGCTCTGGGACCTCGCCGGCATAAAACAACATCTTCTTCTGTTCTAGACCTTTGAAGGCCCACTCACATAGACCTAGAAGGGCTTCTTGGTGTTGGCCCAAATGCGCTTCTTTATCCTGATGTGTACATATGGTGGTGCTGAGCATTTGGATGTAAAACTCAGTCACAGTTTGAGGTAGCTGGTTGCTCCCTGCGTTTTGGAGCAAGTATTCCAAGCAAATGCAGACAATATTGCACAAGGCGGGGATGTAACACATGCTCAAGAGTTTCCCATTGTTTTTCAGGTAGGCAAGCGCTTGTTCTTTCTCCGAATGGTGGCGGAAATAATAGCCGGCGTACTCCTCGACCTTTTCGCGGTCAAAGCCCCAGATCTCCGCCAACAAAGTGCTGGCTTTCAACAGTGATTCGGGGATGATTTTGGGTCGCGTCGTGACCAACACGGTGCAGCCGGACAAGAGTTTCCCATAGCAAAGACCGGCAAATAGCTCTGCCGTCGAGAGAGGATTGACGAGATCTGGAGATGGCACACAAGGAGGATACGAGAGCTCGATGTTCTCCACAAATTCATCCAGACCATCAAAGATCACCAATATGTGCCGAGCATCCTCTTGGAGCTGCTCAAATACTGCATCCGGGCAAGAGTCAGGTTGGAGGACGAAACCAAAGAAAAGTTCTTGCAGGGTAAGCTTTCTCTTGATCAGGTTGAGCTGCCTGAACTCAAAGAGGAAGATCAGTCGGAACTGAGGCAAGCTTCCTTCAGCCCATTGCTGGCAGATTTTGTGCATGAGTCTGGTCTTACCCATCCCTGGTCTACCCAAGAGGAGGATGACCTTCGTCGTCTCAGTTTGGACGGAGTCAAAGAGATCGGACAACCTCATGGTTGCATTGCCGTGTTCCTCCATGTCGTGCAGACACGTGTGTTCCTCCTTCACACCTTTTTCCATCCTTCTCTTCAACTTCAAGGTTTTGCGATGACGGATCACAAGGTTGATGAAAGTTTGGCTGAAAGATGACAGCTGGTCCTGGAACGGCCCACTTGTTCTGTATCTTTGGAGCATGCGTTGGATGACGAGTTGCCGGTACCTTTCTGCAGAATCTGATGAAAGGAAGGGGAGAAATGAGAACCATTGGAAAATCTATTAATTGTTATTATTATATTTATTACTGCATTTTTTATACCCCACTATTCCTCAGGGATTGGCGCGACCGATGTGATCATGTCATCTAACATGTCTGAGAATTTGGTCCAATCTGCCTTTCTGAAGTTGAATCTTTGTTTAAATTGAACTTCCTGAGGCCTTATTGTTGGGAACCGTTGGCATACTATTGGTCAGTGCTGTGTGTTTGGAATTGGTGGTCCCACTTATTTAGTGCATTGCTGCACAATGTTGTCGCTCACAAATAAGAGGTCTGGGTTATAACCTCGGTGTCATCTCCTACTGTTGTAGGATGGTGGGAGCTTACTATCACTGTATCTAGAAAACATCTGCCCTTGCGCTTTCCTGCTGAGTACGCATGCCCGGTGTGGAACACATCTCACCATGCTAAAGCAGTGGATGTGGCTCTTAATGAGACATGCCGCATTATTACAGGATGTCTGCACCCTACACCACTGGAGAAATTACACTGTCTAGCTGGTATTGCACCACCTGACATCCGCCGGGAAGTAGCAGCCAATAATGAAAGGACCAAGGCAGACATCTCCAGCTCATCCCTTGTTTGGGTATCAGCCAGCACGTAAATGACTTAAATCAAAAAAATAGTTTTCTAAGATCTACAGAGACACTCGCTGAACACCTCAGCAAGCGAGAGTCCAAAAGTGGCAGGCTCAAACCCAGAACCTCAACCAATGGCTGATACCAGATGAGAGACTCCCCCCTGGGCACACAGAAGACTGGGCACTTGGAAGGCGCTGAACAGACTGCGCTCTGGCACCACAAGATGCAGAGCCAACCTCAAGGAATGGGGCCACAAAGTGGAATCCTCGACATGTGAGTGTGGAGAAGAGCAAACTACTGACCACCTGCTGCAATGCAACCTGAGCCCTGCCACATGCACAATGGAGGACCTTCTTGCAGCAACACCAGAGCACTCCAAGTGGCCAGATACTGGTCAAAGGACATTTAATCAACTACCAAACTCACAAATTTTGTATTTTGTCTGTTTGTTTGCTTTGTTCTGTTCTGTCACTGACACGACAAATAAAATATACCCCACTTTATCTCTCCCAAAGGAGACTTAGAGCCATATCATAAAAATATTAGCATGCAATTTAAAAATACACAAATATGCAAACAGGATTAAATATATTGTCGAAGGCTTTCATGGCCGGAATCACTGGTTTGTTGTAGGGTTTTTCGGGCTATATGGCCATGTTCTAGAGGCATTCTCTCTGACGTTTCGCCTGCATCTATGGCAAGCATCCTCAGAGGTAGTGAGGGCTGTTGGAACTAGGAAAAAGCGCTTATATATCTGTGGAATGACCAGGGTGGGACAAAGGACTCTTGTCTACTGGAGAACAAACAAGGACATCTAATCACCTCTCAACAAAAGTTTGCTCTAGGCCTGTGTTTCTCAACCTGGGGGTCGGGACCCCTGAGTGGGTGATGTGTACCATCCTGTAAGGGAGGCCTTCTCTACATGTCCCCGCATTAGGGGAGCTGGAGCTGATAGAGGAAGAAACTCATCCATCTTTCTCCCCGTGGTATTTTTCGAACCCCTGCCGACCTGTAGAGTCTTCAGTCCTGCCGGAATAAGGGCTGAAACTCTTGTCTGCTGAAGCAAGGTGTGGATGTTTCAACGTCGACCACCTTGCATTAGCATATAAATCGGCCCTGACAGATGCACTGGGCGACAATTTCAAACAGAAAGGAGACGAAACATGCAAAATCACAAAATCGCTACCACTATTCAAAAAATCACTAAAAATATCACAACAGCATAAACAGCAGAGATGGAAACAATACAAGGACATCTAATCACACTCTCAAAAATCGTCTTGCCTCCAGCATGTCAGGCCATTTAATATAGCGAAGATCAAGATGGTTTAACACACGAGGGGAATGCGGTGCCGGCAAAGTGATAAGGAAAGAATGTGTAAGAAGACGTGCGATAAGTGAAAATATGGTTTCTAAATACTTGTGAAGGACGTAGTGTTAAGACAAGTTGAGAAGAGAAATTCAAGTAAAAACATGAGTGTCATTTGTGAAAAAAAAAAAACAAAGTAGCCACTATCTATGGCAGTGAAATACAAAAAAAAAAGGCGAAGAAAATTCTCTCAGAGTGAAGCAAAAATGGAAAGGAGAAGGGGTTAGACGTAAGAGCATATGTAGGCAGACGGACTGGTCTTGAAATGATGGGCAGAAGGGTGATTGAGGTATGGAGCTGAAGCGGAAATGACAAACTCCCCCCCCCCCCCCCCCCTTCCACCCCCCCCCCCCCCCCTCCCCAAGGACGGCGTCTTTCGAACCCTAGAAATCGGAGAAAACAAGGACTCAGCAAGAAAGAGAACAGTTTCTCTTAACACACATTGGGAACACTAGATAGTGTCCCAGACCATTCCCTTAATGATGCAGAAGTGTTACATGCAACTGTTGAGACTTAGGTAACAGAGATTGTCTTTCACAGCAATTGAAGTGATAATAGCAGTTTTAATGAGGTACAAACTGAGAGAGGCACTTAACAGCAGTGTAATTAGCAAATCAAAAGAACCTTCAGGCAGGTAAACAAACAGTAGTTAATCCGGATCTTCCAGGACTTGAGCTCAGCCAAAAGGAAAGCAAAGGTAAACAAGAGCGTGTGGCAAAGCACAAAATCAAAACAGTCTCTTAATGAACTATTCCAAGGTCAGGAGCAGGATGAAGTCACTCACGTAAGACGATTCCAAGGTCAGGATATACAAGGCAGGAAAACTGGATACTAGGAACCCAAGCAAGAGTTAGGCAGCACAAAGCATGTAAACAACACTTTGTCTTCTGCAAAGTAACATTTCTCAGCGTGCTCAATTTATACACAGTCACTATCACTTGATTGAGCCTCACTACTCGCATCTGACTCATTTTCCGCAGCTGCTGCGTCTTCGCCACGCCAATGCTGCCTTCTTTGATCCAGTGCCTGATCCTGCCAAGATGAACCCTCCTCCCAAGTATCCTGGAATCCCTCGAACTAATCACTGGACGTAGCTTGGGTGCATATGTCCCTAATGTTCTTAACAAAAGTCCAATCTAGTTCCTCCTCCATTTCATCCTCGCTAGGACTGGAATTGTCTGCTGTATCTTTAAGTCTTTTAGACAGAGTATCACTATCACTGTCAGACTCACTGGCCACCCGCTTTACTCCCCGGTAATCTGACTCTACTACGTCCCCAGGGCCAAACCCTGCAAAGTCCTCTGAATCGCTCGGGGCCAAAAAGATATCACGAATGCGCTTCAGCTGACGCTGATCCAGGTCTGATTCAGCATCACTCCTCCTTCTCCTGCAACCAGTAGTAGATACGGTGCCAGGACGCTGAGCCTCAACAGCAACACTGAATCTGACCCTCTGTGTCATTTTATGTTGCTCCTACAGATGCTGGATGGCTTATAGGGCCCACAACGTGCATCAGCATGCAGAATTATTGTCAGGTTTTACAATGTATTGTAATGTAATATAGCTGAGTCATGCACTGCTAATAGGCTTCTATTGGAAATGCTGAGTCATGCATTAACTGTATATAGAACTCATTTGGGGAATGTGTTCTGGCCTAGTCCAGGTGATTGTGAATGATGTAATCCTGGGTCTGAGTTAAGTTAATGAGTTGGGAACCAATCAGAGATTGCTATGTGTAATTGTATAGAATTGTATATAAGGAAGTCATGTACAGTGTATATTTCTCTCCTTGTGCTGTGATGCTGTTCGTCGAAGGCTCTATGTAATTGATTAAAAGAACCTGTCTGCTAAGACAAGATATAACTGTGTGCTGTGGTAAGTTTGTAATGTCATCTAGACTGGGGAGAAAGACAATGGTAAAACTGACAATGGCCGGGCATGTGCTCAAGTGTCTGTAAAAGAGTTCCAGAGTGACTGCAGTTTGTGGGAGCAGTTGACTGAAAATACTGTGCAGGAAGAAGCTACTGGAAAGCACTGAAGTTGTGCAACTGATCTGCTGCTGAATTGTGAAATTAATCTCAACTATTATAAACTATGTTGTATGGTTTACAGGGCCTATGATGCTTGTCAGCATGCAGAATTATAAACCACATTGTATGGTTTATAGGGCCCACAATGCGCATCAGCATGCAGAATTATAAACTATGTTGTATGGTTTATAAGGCCCACAATGCACATCGGCATGCAGAATTATAAACCACATTGTATAGTTTATAGAACCCACCATGCGCATTAGCATGCAGTATTATAAACCACATTGTATGGTTTATAGGACCCACCATGCGCATACGCATGCAGTATTATAAACCACATTGTATGGTTTATAGGGCCCACCATGTGCATCCGCATGCAGAATTATAAACCACATTATATGGTTTATAAGGCCCACAATGCGCATCCGCATGCAGAATTATAAACCACGTTGTATTGTTTATAGGGCCCACAATGCGCATCAGAGTGCAGAATTATAAACCACATTGTATAATTCTTTTTAAAACTTTTTAAAATTGCCAATATCCGCTGGATAATGGAGAAAGGCAGGGAGTTTCAGAAAAACATCTATTTCTGCTTCATTGACTATTCCAAAGCCTTTGACTGTGTGGATCATAATAAATGGTGGCAAGTTCTTGGCGGGATGGGCATCCCAAGCCCCCTTCCCTCTCTCCTGAGGAATCTGTACAAGGACCAAGTAGCCACAGTCAGAACTGACCACGGAACAGGAGACGGGTTCAAGATTGGGAAAGGCGTACGGCAAGGCTGCATCCTCTCACCCAACCTTTTTAACTTGTATGCAGAACACATCATGCGAGGATGTGGGCTTGATGAATGCAAAGCTGGGGTGAAAATTGCTGGAAGAAACATTAACAACCTCAGATATGCAGATGACACCACTCTGATGGCCGAAAGCGAGGAGGAGCTGAGGAGCCTTCTAATCAAGGTGAAAGAAGAAAGCGCAAAAGCTGGGTTGCAGCTAAACATCAAAAAAAACCAAGATTATGGCAACAAGAATGATTGACAACTGGAAAATAGAGGGAGAAAATGTGGAGGCCGTGACAGACTTTGTATTTCTAGGTGCAAAGATTACCGCAGATGCAGACTGTGGCCAGGAAATCAGAAGACGCTTCCTTCTTGGGAGGAGAGCAATGTCCAGTCTCGATAAAATAGTAAAGAGTAGAGACATCAGACTGGCACCAAAGATCCGCCTGAAGATCCGCATGGTATTCCCCGTAGTAACCTACGGATGTGAGAGCTGGACCTTAGGGAAGGCTGAGCGAAGGAAGAGAGATGCTTTTGAACTGTGGTGTTGGAGGAAAGTTCTGAGAGTGCCTTGGACTGCGAGAAGATCCAACCAGTCCATCCTCCAGGAAAGAAAGCCCGACTGCTCATTGGAGGGAAGGAGATAGAGACAAAGTTGAAGTCCTTTGGCCACATCATGAGAAGACAGCAAAGCCTAGAGAAGACAATGATGCTGGGGAAAGTGGAAGGCAAAAGGAAGAGGGGCCGACCAAGGGCAAGATGGATGGATGGCATCCTTGAAGTGACTGGACTGACCTTGAAGGAGCTGGGGGTGGTGACGGCCGACAGGGAGCTCTGGCGTGGGCTGGTCCATGAGGTCACGAAGACTTGGAGACGACTGAACGAATGAACAACAACATATAAGAATAATAAAAAAAAATTCCTTGTTAAAAGTCAAGGACTGGGCTAACAAGCATTCCTCCCTTCTGCTGCATTTAGGGATGGGAATTCTCCATTTTCCCACTTACATGTCAAGGAGAAAGCTTTCCAGATTTTCAGATCGTAATACGTTCCTATTAAAGTTAAAGGTTCAAAAATTAGAAAGAGAGAAGTAACTGAATTACTTGCTGACGTTGACGCGGAGGGAACGGCAGCGTCTTCAAACTCCTGCTCTTGAGCCGTGTTACCTGGAATAATTTAAACAAATATAAAAGTCATTAACTCAGAATAATTTAATAATTGATCAATATTTTTTGTGGACTCAGAGTTCCTCGTTCCCACTTCCTTTGTGTGTGTATTGCATTTAAGTATTTATTTATTGTGTCAGGAGCAAACCAAACAGTTGTGTTGCATTAGAACAAACAAACAAAACACAAAATTTGCAAACTTGATATATATACACTCCATTTGCTTTAGGACCTCTATGCAGATATCCTCACTGATTGACTTTGCACCTTCTCGGCAACTCAATGCTATTCAAGTTCCTAATTGCAACATTCACATTTGTGTTAAACAGACAAGAGTTCTTTCTCCCATTCTGGGCATCATTCCTCAGATATATATACACCCCACTTGTTCCACTATCTCTATGCAGATACCCTCACTGATTGACTTTGCACCTTCTCGGCAACTCAATGCTATTCAAGCTTGCTAATGGCAACATTCACACTTGTGTTAAACAGACAAGGGTTCTTTCTCCCACTCTGGACATCATTCCTCAGATATATATACACTCCACTTGCTTCTCTACTTCTATGAAGATACCCTCACTGATTGCCTTTGCACCTTCATGGTGACTCAATGCACCTTCAAGCTTGCTAATGGCAACATTCACACTTGCTTCAAATAGACAAGGGTTCTTTCTCCCATTCTGGATATTATTACCCAGATATATATAGACCCCATTTGCTTCGCTATCTCTATGCAGATACCCTCACTAATTGACTTTGAACCTTAACAGCAACTCAATGCACCTTCAAGCTTGCTAATGGCAACATTCACACTTGTGCTAAACAGACAAGGGTTCTTTCTACTACTCTGGACATAATTCCTCAGATATATATACACTCCATTAGCTTCAGTAACTCTATGCAGATACCCTCACTGATTGACTTTGCACCTTCATGGCAACTCAATGCTATTCAAGCTTCTAATGGCAACACTCACACTTGTGTTAAACGGATAAGAGTTCTTTCTCCTACTCTGGACATTATTCCCCAGATATAAATATACCCCACTTGCTTCACTATCTCTATGCAGATATCCTCACTAATTGACTTTGCACCTTCATGGCAACTCAATGCACCTTCAAGCTTGCTAATTGCAACATTCACACTTGCTTCAAACAGACAAGGGTTCTTTCTCCCATTCTGGATATTATTACCCAGATATATATAGACCCCATTTGCTTCGCTATCTCTATGCAGATACCCTCACTGATTGACTTTGCACCTTCTTAGCAACTCAATGCTATTCAAGTTCCCAATTGCAACATTCACACTTGTGTTAAACAGACAAGAGTTCTTTCTCCAACCCTGGACATTCCATAGATATATAGACTCCACTTGCTTCGCTACCTGTATGCAGATACCCTCACAGATTGACTTTGCATCTTCACGGCAACTCAATGCTATTCAAGCTTGCTAATTGCAACATTCACACTTATTTATTTATTTATTTATTTATTTACGACATTTATATGCCGCCCTTCTCACCCCGAAGGGGACTCAGAGCGGCTTACAAGGTATATATACATACAATATATTATTAACATAGTACAATATCAGTTTTAAATATTGCTATATTGCACTATATCAATTATACCGTAATATTATTAGTAATATTACATGTAATATAAATATATAATTATACTATCGTATTATTAGTAGTAGTATTATATTGCATTACATTAAAATATTATAAATATTATATGTATACACAAATAACAAGAGTTCTTTCTCCCACCCTGGACATTATTCCTCAGATATATATACACTCCACTTGCTTCACTATCTCTATGCAGATACCCTCACTGATTGCCTTTGCACCTTCATGGCGACTCAATGCACCTTCAAGCTTGTTAATGGCAACATTCACACTTGCTTCAAACAGACAAGGGTTCTTTTTCCCACTCTGGACATCATTCCTCAGCTATATATACACTCCGCTTGCTCCACTAACTCTATGCAGATACCCTCACTGATTGACTTTGCACCTTCTTGGCAACTCAATGCTATTCAAGTTCCTAATTGCAACATTCACACTTGTGTTAAACAGACAAGGGTTCTTTCTCTCACTCTGGACATCATTCCTCAGCTATTTATACACTCCACTTGCTTCACTAACTCTATGCAGATACCCTCACTGATTGACTTTGCAACTTCACAGCGACTCAGTGTTATTCACACTTGCTTGAAACAGACAAGGGTTCTTTCTCCCACTGGGTTTATTAATCCACAGACGTATATATACTTGCTCCACAGCCAACAGAACCTCTGAAGATGCCATTAGCCACAGATACAGGCGGAACGGAAGGAGAGAATTCTAGTGGAATGTGGTCATACAACCTGAAAAACTCACAGCAACCCAATGATGAAAGCCTTCGACAACAATACAAAAAAAACCCACGTATTTTCTTACCATTTTCTGCCGAGATGCTCATGAAGGTGATTTCCAGCTCCATGGGCAGGTTGAACTCCATGCAGGCGCTTTGGACAAAGTCCTTGAAGGCGGGAGGGTTAGCCTCGGCGGCCGTCCGGAACACATCCAGGACCAAGGAGACCTTCTCTTTGGGATTGGCAACATCCTCAACACAGCTCAAGTCCCTCGGCGGAAGGAGCTCCCTGGCTTTCCGTAGCACCCATTCAGGGTATTGATCGAGGAAGTCCACCAGCTGCGGCCAAGCGTCACCAATGGCCCTCCGGCGGGACGCATCGTCCATCTGGAGGGAGCAAAAGATCAAGGGAGGGATTGGGAAAGTGCTTGGAGCATTGTGTACACTAGTGGTTCTCAACCTTCCTAATGCCGCGACGCCTTAATACAGTTCCTCATGTTGTGGTGACGCCCAACCACAAAATTATTTTAGTTGCTACTTCATAACTGTAATTCTGCTACAGGTTGCCGGTTCGAATCCAGGGAGCAGGGTGAGCACCTGCTGTTAGCTCTAGCCTCTGCCAACCTAACAGTTCAAAAATACGCAAATGTGAGTAGATCAATAGGTACTGCTCCGGCAGGAAGGTAATGGCGCTCCATTCAGTCATGCCGGTCACATGACCTTGGAGGTGTCTATGGACAACGCCGGCTCTCTGGCTTAGAAATGGAAATAAGCACCAACCCCCAGAGTCGGACACGGCTAGACTCAATGTCAAGGGGAAAACCTTAACCTACCTTTACATTATGAATCATAATGTCAACATCTGATATGCAGGATGTATTCTCATTCACTGAACCAAATTTGGGAGAAATACCCGATATGCCCAAATCTGAATACTGGTGGGGTTGATTTTGTCATTTGGGAGTAGTAGTTGCTGGGATTTATAGCATTCTGAACTTCACCATTGATGGAATTGAACCAAACTTGGCACACAGAACTCTCGTCCCTCCTTACCTTCATCATCCTGCCAATCTTTCCCGACTGTTTATGGCATGGCCTTTGTTTTCAGCGCTTTTCAGGTTCAAAGAGAGTCACACCGGGCCTCGATGGAGACACACCTGAGCAGGTACAAGTGGCTGCAGAAAAGGAAGAGAGACAGGTCAGCACTTAATGCATCCTCCTCCTTGCAAATGGCTATGATTAGGATCGAATTAAAACATACAGAAAGGGACAACATGAGAAATTACTTTGTGGTAATTCTGGAACCCATATCCATGGTTTCACTGACTCAGCACGATGGAAATAATAATAATAATAATAATAATAATAATAATAATAATAATAATTTGAAAAAGGAGATGGAGGGCCCGATTCTGGAAGCCCAAGAACAAGCCATTCGAGCCAAAGCCAGAACTGCAAAATCGGTGACAGATCCCAAGTGTAGACTCTGCAAGGAAGCAGATGAAAAGATAGATCTCATCCTCAGCTGCTGCAAGAAGATCGCACAGAGACTACAAGCAGAGGCACAACACCATTGCTCAGATGATTCATTGGCACTTGTGCCACAAAGACCATCTGCCTGCAACAACGAACTGGTGGGATCACAAGCTACCGTGGGACTCCCGGATTCAGACAGACAGAGTTTTGGAGCACAATACTCCTCACCTCATGATCGTGTTTGAAAACAAAGTATGGATTGTTGATGTCGCAATCCCAGGTGAGAGCAGGATTGAAGAGAAACAACTGAAAAAGCTGACACGATATGAGGATTTAAAGATCAAACTGCAAAGACTCTGGCACAAGCCAGTCAAGGTGGTCCCAGTGGTGATCGGCACACTGGGTGCAGTCCCTAAAGACCTTGGCCTGCACTTAAACACAATTGGCACTGACAAAATTACCATCTGCCAGCTGCAAAAGGCCACCTTACTGGGATCTGCACTCATTATTCACCGATACATCACACAGTCCTAGACACTTGGGAAGTGTCCGACGTGTGATCCAATTCAACAGCCAGCAGAGTGTCTGCTGTGGACTCATCTTGTTGTGTTTCAAATAATAATAATATAGTAATAATATAGTAATAATAACCATATAATATACCACTTTCTCTCTCTCAAAAGAGATTCAAAGCAGATACTTTAGGAATTTGTTAAGCCTTCAATGTGATTGTATAGAATATTTTCCCAAAAAGTTACCATAGTGTTGCATCGTGGAACCCATTATCTATGGTTTCACTGACCTGCAGAATGGTGTGAATAATAATAATAATGATACTAATGAACTATTATTAATAATATAAAATAATTTATTGCTTGCATTATTATTATTATTATTATTATTATTATTGTTTGAAACACAACAAGATGAGTACACACAGTAAACAAGATCACTATGCTGGCTGTTGAATTGGACCACACGTCGGACACTTCCCAAGTGTCTAGGACTGTGTGTTGTATTGGCGAATAATGCATGGAGATCCCAGTAAGGTGGCCTTTTGCAATTGGAAGATGGTAATTTTGTCAGTGCCAATTGTGTTTAAGTGCAGGCCAGGGTCTTGAGGCACTGCACCCAGTGTGCTAATCACCATTGGAACTACCTTGACTGGCTTGTGTCAGTCTTTGCAGTTCAATCTTTATTATTATTATTAGAAACACAACAAGATGAGTCCGCAGCAGACAAGATCACTCTGCTGGCTGTTGTATTGGATCATACGTCGGACACTTCCCAAGTGTCTAGAACTGTGTGATGTATCGGTGAATAATGCGTGCAGATCCAAGCAGGCTGGCCTTTTGCAGCTGGCAGATGGTAATCTTGTCAGTGCCAATTGTGTTTAAGTGCAGGCCAAGGTCTTTAAGCACTGCACCCAGTGTGCCGATCCCCACTGGGACCACCTTGACTGACTTGTGCCAGAGTCTTTGCAGTTTGATCTTTAAATCCTCATATCGTGTCAGCTTTTTCAGTTGTTTCTCGTTAATCCTGCTGTCACCTGGGATTGCGACATCGACAATCCATACTTCGTTTTTTAACACAATTGTGAGGTCATTATTATTATTATTATTATTATTATTATTATTATTATTATTAATTTAATTCTGCCATCTCTGGAATTCCCCCCATTGCAAGGGTAAACTATGTTTAATTCCTGATTGTTGTCCAATATGGCAACCCTAAGGATGTAAACATTTTACAGGACAATAACAACAACAAGCACAACAACAACATCCCACTTTTTCTCTCTTCATAGAGACCCAAAGCAGGCTTTTAAAGAATTTGTTAGGTCTTCAATGTAATCCTATAGTATATTTCCCTGAATAGTTACCATAATAACAACAACAACAACAACAACAACAACAACAACAACAACACTTTATTTCTACCCCGCTACCATCTCCCCAAGGGACTCGGTGTGGCTTACATGAGCCCGAGCCCAAACATAACAATACAAGCAATAATCACAACAATACAAGCAAAATAAAACTTACACATATAACATTATCAATAAGACAACATACAATTAAAACCATAGAATTGTATTGGATGATCTAACCCATTCTTAAACAAGATCCAGAGGTGCAGAAAGAGAATATTGCATTCTATTATGGACTACAAAGCCCAGCATCTTCCAGCTAGCATCAGACGCTGCCTAACAAAGCCACTTTCCCAAAGTTCAAGCTCCATTATAATAGTTGTATAGTTACTAAATGGTTACTACATGGTTACTACATGGTTACTACATGGTTACTAACGACCCCTACGTTGAGGTCTAAGTCCCTACTAAAGGCCTACGGCCATGAAAAGGAGAAAACTCACCAAGGAAAGCAAACAATTTAGTGCCTCCAATGCACTAAAGACGGTGCCCTCTTTGCCAACTTCTTAAAAATGAAAGTAGAAGCGCCGTCTCTGGAATTCCCCCATCTCAAGGTTAAAACAGGCTCCATTCCTGATTGTTATCCAATATGCCAAACCCATGGGGACAAAACATTTTACGGAACTGAAACAAATATGGCAAAAGTTGTCCAGTTTTCTGGGAAGTGGTCATATTGCAATTTCCAATGGTGTTACAATAGTATTTACGGCAGATTTTCAGTTAACCGGATCGTTACAGATTCACTAAAAAATGGCTTTTTTCCCATCATGTCCGAAGGAAATAAAGAATATACTGCAAGTAGCTTCTGGTTTTAAATAGTTACAAAATAGTTACAGATTAGTTATAAAAAAGTTATAAAATATTTACAGATGAGCTGCAAAATAGCCACAAAATAGCTATATAATAGCTACTAAATAGTTACTAAATAACTATAGATCAGCTACAAAATAGCTTTTTAAAATCATGTCAGAAGTGAATTGAGAATATACCGCAAGTAGCTTCTGGTTTTAAATAGTTACAAGATAGTTACAGATTAGTTACAAAATGGCCACAAAATAGCTATTGAATAGTTACAAAATAGTTACAGATTAGCTTTAAAAATAGCTTTTTTTCCATCATGTCATAAGCAAATAAAGAATATACCGCAAGTAGCTTCTGGTTTTAAATAGTTACAAAATAGTTACAGATTAGTTACAAAATGGCGACAAATTAGCTATTGAATAGTTACAAAATAGTTACAGATTAGCTACAAAATAGCTATTAAATAATTACAAAATAGTTACAAAATAGTTACACATGAGCTGCAAAATAGCCACAAAATAGCTATATAATACCTACTAAATAGTTACTAAATAGTTACAGATCAGCCACAAAATAGCTTTTTTAAATCGAGTCAGAAGTGAATTGAGAATATACGGCAAGTAACTTCTGGTTTTAAATAGTTACAAAATAGTTACAGATTAGTTACAAAATGGCCACAAAATAGCTATTGAATAGTTACAAAATAGTTACATATTAGCTACAAAATAGCTATTAAATAGTTACAAAATAGTTACAGATGAGCTGCAAAATAGCCACAAAATAGCTATAAAATAGCTACTAAATAGTTACAGATTAGCTACAAAATAGCTTTTTTCCCATCATGTCAGAAGCAAATAAAAATATACTGCAAGTAGCTTCTGGTTTAAAATAGTTACAAAATAGTTACAGATTAGTTACAAAATATTTACAGATAAGCTGCAAAATAGCCACAAAATAGCTATATAATAGCTACTAAATAGTTACTAAATAGTTACAGATCAGCTACAAAATAGCTTTTTTAAATCGTGTCAGAAGTGAATTGAGAATATACTGCAAGTAGCTTCTGGTTTTAAATAGTAACAAGATAGTTACAGATTAGTTACAAAATGGCCACAAAATAGATATTGAATAGTTACAGATTAGCTGCAAAATAGTTTTTCCCATCATGTCAGAAGCAAATACAGAATATACTGCTAGTAGCTTCTGGTTTTAAATAGTTACAAAATAGTTACAGATCAGCTACAAAAGGGCCACAAAATAGATATTGAATAGTTACGAAATAGTTACAGATTAGCTACAAAATAGCTTTTTTCCATCATGTCAGAAGTAAATAAAGAATATACCGCAAGTAGCTTCTGTTTTTAAATAGTTACAAAATAGTTACAGATTAGTTACAAAATGGCCACAAAATAGCTATTGAATAATTACACAATAGTTACAGATTAGCTACTAAATAGCTATTAAATAGTTACAAAATATTTAAAGATAAGCTGCAAAATAGCCACAAAAAGCTATATAATAGCTACTAAATAGTTACTAAATAGTTACAGATCAGCCACAAAATAGTTTTTCCCATCATGTCAGAAGCAAATACAGAATATACTGCAAGTAGCTTCCGGTTTTAAATAGTTACAAATTAGTTACAAAATGGCCACAAAATAGCTATTGAATAGTTACAAAATAGTTACAAATTAGCTACAAAATAGTTTTTCCCATCATGTCAGAAGCAAATACAGAATATACCGCAAGTAGCTTCTGTTTTTAAATAGTTACAAAATAGTTACAAAATGGCCACAATTTTTTTATATTACTTATTATACTTTATCTTTATATTATACATATATAATATCTTTAT